TTCGGCTATTAGTGATTTCTTCTTCAGGTTTGGTATGCCATACGAAATGCATTCGGATCAAGGCTGTAACTTCGAATGCTGCAAGTTGTTTGGCATACGAAAGACCAGGATAACGTCACTTCACCCACAGTCCGGTGGGATGGTAGAAAAGTACAATTGGACACTGGGACAGGAATTGGCAAACTTTTGTAATAGCCGCCAAGATGGCTGGGATTTCTTACTCCCTCCACTGTTGATGGCCTATAGAACAGCAAAGCATGAAGCCACTGGATACACTCTAGCAAAGTTGATGTTTTGTCGGGAACTTCGGTTGTCAGTGGATCTGTTAATAGGACGCCCACCTTATGAAGAGTTGCCTGAAAATGTGTCAGAGTTCGTGAAAGTGTATTCGGAAAGGATGGATGATATTCACCATCAAGTGCGTTCAAACTTGAAAACGTCTGCTGATTCGATGAAGCTATGTTATGATAAGAAGTCTACTGAAGTCAGCTTTGTACCAGGAGACAAGGTGTGGTTGTATGAATTCCAAGAAGACCAAAGGGAAGTCTCCAGGCCCATATGACATAGTGGATCGTCTCTCAGACGTGACTTTCCGAATAAAATGTGGTCGGCGAGGTAAGCCAAAGGTGGTGCTTGCCAACAGGCTTTGTCGTTCTCATGGTCCAGGACATTTCAGTTGGGACGAAGTGAACAACGGAACAAAAGACGTCGCTGAAGACATATCACCTGGAAAATCCACTGTTGAAGAAGAAACTCTACTCGATTTTGAGAAGGGAAACAGTGAAGCCCTTGATGAAGTTACTACCACTGATGTGACTATTACCGATATTAGGACATTTCCTGATGGAGCAGATGAATTTTACGTGAAGCAGAAGCCAACGAGATGGAGACCAATACGGAAGACGATACGTCCCGTAAAATTAAGAGACTTTGTTGAATTTTAATTTTGTGTTTGTAAAGTATGTACATTTAATTACGTTATTGTTAATTATCTATTGATTTAATGTAACTGGCTATTGTTCGGGACGAACAATACTAAGGAAGGGGCAGTGTTACGATAGCGGAAGTCGTGCGACGCTGGGAGCATGCACTGGAGTTCTAGAAAGATCGAGGAACCTGTCGAACGTCCTAGCGTTTGCTAGTCTCGCGCTTTTATAGTATATAAGCCGGCAAATAATGTGACGGCAATAATTGAACTGCAGACAGAGAGATATAGCGACAGATAATCGAATCAAGTAGTAAGTAAAGTGCGTGAATCGTTGTGAATTATAGCGTGTGTTTTAGTTAAAGTGACTGTGGAAATTAAGTGTACTGCAAAGTTGAATTGAGAAAAAATTCGGAAATAATTTCTACGGAAAATTAACAAACGACCACAGACGTAACATTAGCTACTTTACAGTATTTTTTCCACGAGAATGTGCACGAGATACTAAATGGGGATGACCTAGAGTGATAGGTAACTAGGGTTAAAAGAGCTTAGTCACTTCTTTCAGCAACGTTCCATGTTAAAGTTGCATAAACTTGATGTACGAAAAATATTATGTGAACTTAAGAGCTAAACACAGTGGAGCAGAAAATATCTAGTATGCCTGCATACTACTTTATATGAAGAGAGTGAGAGACTGGACGCAGCTTTTGTGATGATTGCCAGTTTATTAAACACTTTTAAGACCAAAAGTGAACCAGAATTTTGTGCAAATAATTAATAGGAAATTTAATTTCGAAAATAATTATAAAAGACGCTATGTAGAAAGCGTATATTGGATTATGAGAGAATATATTTAAAACCTGAGATTATGAATTTTCTTTTGGTAAGTTTTCTAAAATCGATATCTAGATGTTACTTCGTAGTACGAGCTTTCAAAAAGAATTTCTGAGTACGATGGTGATGAAATAATTTCTGTACTTTTAAAAAAAAAGACTATAGAGGTCTAATAGCACGGCCGTCACATTATGGTACGAATACGAACAGGCTAACTGCAAATTAGCTTCCTGCCTTGCACAGGAATATGACGAAAGGTATAAATCGATGTCACGGCAAATATTCTTGGTTAATCCCGTAGTTAATTTAGACCATTCTTTGAGGATATATAGTAGATTTTAAAAATTTACGGGTAGCGCGGAGTGCTGAACATGCAGACGTACAAAAATGTACGTGTTTTATATTTTGTCTGTTTATTCAGTTTGCTGTCACTATCAGGTTAGTAGAGACGTATAATTCAGTAGTAGTATTTTACTAAAATTTCATTATCGTAGGTAGACATAATGGTATTTACATTTGAGTCTTTGAAAATCTAGATCTATAAGATTTAGACAGTATGGTAACCTAGTATATGCACTGCATGAACAACCATTGGAATTTAAGCTATGTGAATAATGCTTAGTGTGTTACCATTACCAAAATACAGTAATTAGAGTGATATTAGTTGTGACTGTAATATAAATGATACCATAAAAGATTATAATGTTTGTCCTAAGTTGAGGTATATGGGATGTAGTTAGTACTATATCATAATCTGTGAAATAGCAGACATGTGTAATATGTAGATGTGTTTAATAGCAAAGCAATATGTAGATTACTATAGTGTAATATATATGGACATCCACATGTAACCTGATTGATATGAGCTATCTATGACACTGCATATAGTGTGATATGTAGAAATCCTTATTGTTTGATAGTAGAATTTGAGTGATATTGATTTTTACAGGCCTCATGGAATGAGTTGCCATCAGCAGTATTTGAGGCCAACATTTTACAGGAGTTTGAGCTAGGACTGAATCATTTCCTTAAAAGTAAAGGGCAGGTTTAAATTTTTAGTTTTCCCAAAGGTGGGTGTGTAAGAACAGTCATTTTGGACCAAATGTTCTCTAGTTATCCATAGGTTATGCTATGTTACTCAATTTTCCAAGTTATGTTAAATACTCTATAAATAAAATTTTTTCATGTACTGTATGATTTTAACAAATAACACAAACTAGTGATTTTCAAAATTTAAAACTTAGTTGTATAAAGTAGTGAAACCATATCAAGCTGTCAAACTTTTATAGCTTTAATCTGAGGAAGAATTTTTTGAAAATTAAGTATCTTGTTAATACTTTAGGAAATTGGTACATGTCATATTAGTAGCCATTGGCTTTTTTTGTAAAAGTATATACAGCATAACTTGTCTAACTAGTGATGTCAAGTGACAAGGTTTGTCTATTTATTTTTTTTCTCTTCAGTCATTAAAGAGCTTACACATATAATTTAAAACTTAGCAGACAAATGTTAAAGTTTTCAAATAGGACATTTTCTAATAGTGCATTTAATTTTTCAGCTATTGGAATAAAAATTAGCAAAAATTAGCACATTTTTATATGCAATTTAAATTCTTTTATTGGAGCTAGCTCTTAACCCCCCTTCAAGGGTCATCATGAGCAAGTTGAAAGCAAGCTCCAATAAAATAATGTGGATTGCATATGTCAATTTGGTGAAAACTTGTTTTCCATTTTTTTAAAGAGTTTATTATAGTTTAATATTACCAAGTTACGGTAGGATAACTTCAAGATTTTCAACTACTGGTTGCTTTTCCCAGTATTCAGGTATTAGAGCAGTAAGAGATGTGCTTTTGTATGCAGATACTGCACATGTAATTATTTACTTACAAATTTATATACATCTTAAAATACTTATCCTAAAAATTATATTTTGAGAAATTTTAACAAAGTATTATGGTAGTTTGAGATGTTAAAAATGTATTAGTAGCAGTTGCTTGTGGATTAACCCTTTAGTTTGGTTGGTAAAGCACTTGTCTGCCATGAAAGAAACCTTAGGTTTGAATCTGAATGTGATGAAATAAAAAAAATTAAATTACAGCAGCATTTAAAAAAAAGTCTTATTCTTTTACAGAACATTTTGCTTCTGGTAAGGGACAAAAACAGTCATTAAGATTTTTTGCAGTTGGAGATTGGGGAGGACTTCCCTTTTTTCCCTACAAAACCTTTGTTGAAGAAGCAGTTGCTTACCAAATGGGAAAACTAGCAGAAAAGTTCCAAGCCAATTTTGTAATTTCCTTAGGAGATAATTTCTATACTAAAGGTGTCAAGGATAGTTCAGATGCAAGATTCAAGGTGATTATGCTTATGTTTTTTTCCAAAACTTTTGTGCACAAAATAATTCTATTAAAAATATTTATTTTTTCATGCATAGAGAGTGCTTTAGTTTTAGAAGTGCTTTCTTTAAAGGTACTATTAATTTTTAAAAACAAGCAAATTATGTTTTTACACTTCAAAATTTCTTATTGTTTTTCTGTTAAATCATGAATTTAGTGTTTGGTGCAAATGAAAAAGTTCAAAAAATTTCCTCCTTGACATGCAACCAAACACTTTAGTTTAACAAATTGGTAACGTAGACATGTTAGATCACTTTTTGCAGAATGTGTGTATATGTGTGTGTGTTCAGTATGTTTTTTTTATTATTAATTACAGAATACATTTGAGGACGTGTTTAGTGCAAAGCCTTTACATATTCCTTGGTTAATATCTGCAGGAAATCATGATCACTATGGTAATGTGTCAGGCCAACTGGAGTATTCAAAAAAGTCCAAAAGATGGTGAGTACAAAGCTAGGATTATGTGTACTTAGAAATTAGAGCTGGTGTTGATTTCATCAATAAAGTCAAACCTGTTAGAAGTGATTACATTGATTAGTGTCATATAATCTAATCCATAAATCAGAATTATAATTAAGTCAATTAACTTTGTGAAAATAATCAATTCATTGAAATTAGTGTTTCTGATTATTCAAACAAGTGATATTAATTGCAATGAAATTAGCATGATTGCCTACCTATGCCTTGTCCAGTGCAGGAATTGATACCCAATTTTTGTGTTATAAGGGTTTTTTTTTTTTACTTAAAGTTTGTTCAGCTTTAGGTCATCATAGTCTGATGATTTGGGGAAGGGGGCTTGATTTGAGGGTCTTCAACTATAATAACAGAGTAAATGTATGGATTTGAATTTTTTTTTTATAGTTTCTATACATGTTCTTTTTATTTGTGAAATGTGAAAGTGTGTGTGTGTATTGAATTATATCTGTTTGAAAGATGTAGAAATGTTTTTGAGTGAAAAGACACCAGATAGCATAAAATAAAATAAGCATGTACAGTTTAGAAATGGATTTAATGGGTAACAGAGAAACTATTAAAAGTTCTACACAGTAACAAGTGCACATCATTTCGAGAAGGTTTTGGCATAGTCTGGTATAAGTATTTTACCTAAACACTGACTACTTAATTATTTCTCATTGCAATTAATGTTTTAAATTAAAACATTATTACCTTTATTGTTGAGAATAAAAGTTTACATTGTTTAGTTATCAAATTTGATTTACACAAGAACAATGGGGGATTACTGCATATTTTAAAAACAAACAAAACAGTGTCAAATGGTCATCTCTTGTTGACATTAGTGATTTATCCACTAAGTAGGAAATGAACAGATTATCTTTAAAATAAATTAGTGCCAAGTGCTTTTGCCATGATAATGGTTTTAGGTAAAAGTATATATTTTTTTGCTAAATGCACAAATGGTGACATTCAAAAATTTTTATTATACGAAAGAAAGAGTATTTCAAAAATTACTTTAAAAAAATAGCTGAAAATAGAAAAATTAATATAATGTTATAATAATGCAATGGTGTTTCCAAGTGGTACAGTGGTAAGTCTCAAGACTTATAAAGCTAAAAACTGGGTTTTGATTCCTGTGGCAGGCACAGCACAGATAGCCCAATGTGTAGCTTTGTGTTTTACAACAAACAAACACGTATAGTTTCCCAGGAATGGCTTATTGACTGGTTAATGGGCTCATCAGTTAATTGATTATACCTGCTTCATTGGTGGTAAATTAAAATCTTGGGATGAAAACACTAATCTTAATTCTCTAAGCAAAGTAATAGATCATTTCCAGTACAAAGATTTTGTACCAAATATTCTTGTTCTAAATATTATAAGGTGTTTAAAAGTTGTACATTTTAGTTGCTAATTTCAACAATAAGAGAAATTAAGTGCCAAGTATATATAAGCCCCCCAGTTACAAAATAGTTAATTATTTTATCTTATCAAGCTCTCAAAGTGTATATATAAATTAGATAATTGAATCACATAAACTAAAAAAAAACTATATATAGAAGAATTCAGATGTCTTTAATTCTAAATAAATTAATTGAATAATATTAGAAATATTATAAGCTTGGTTTATGTAAAAGAAAATCCATCTAATTATAAAAATAGCTACTGTTTTTGACCTTAAAAGAGAAATTCATTGTATTATTATTATTATTGAGCAAATGATGTTTCTGCTGTTTCTAGGAAATTCCCATCTTTATATTACACCAGAAAATTCCAGGTTCCATCTTCAAATGCTACTGTTGAAGTGTTAATTATTGACACTGTGCTATTATGTGGAAAAACAGACCCTGACGCAAAAGTTCCAGGACAACCTTTGCCTTACACCATTGATCACACTCAAGCTGATAAGCAACTGCAATGGATAAAGAAAAAACTAAAATCTTCAAAGTATGTATTTTGCACAACATATTATTGTGGTACTAGATTATTTATATTTACATAATAACTCCTACCAGAAGAATTTCTATAAATATTTTATAATAATTATAAGTAACAGGCAAACTACGAAAAGCTTCTATTACTTTACATAATAATTCCTACCAGAAGAATTGCTATAAATATTCTATAATAATTAGTCTTAGTTATAAGTAACAAGCAAACTACGAAAAGCTTCTATTACTTTACATAATAACTCCTACCAGAAGAATTGCTATAAATATTCTATAATAATTAGTCTTAGTTATAAGTAACAAGCAAACTACAAAAAGCTTCTATTACTTTACATAATAACTCCTACCAGAAGAATTGCTATAAATATTCTATAATAATTAATCTTAGTTATAAGTAACAAGCAAACTATGAAAAGCTTCTATGACAACTCTGGTCTCAGGTTATCAGTTAGGAATACTCGTTGTTAGCAGTATTTACAAATGAGACATTTCAAAATTGAATTTCTTACCATTTTATGGCAGCACCAGCTTAAATAACTTGTTTTATATTATTTTTTTTTATATGTATAACACCACAGGGGCTCTTAGTAGCACAAATTTTAGAAATATTTAAGGCTAAGGACAAAGTATTTGTTGTGTTTAGATTTCACCATAACTACTGTTTGCTTAGATCCATTGTAATATAACATTGTTAACAACTTTCTGAAAAATAATCCAAATAGTTTACTCAAAGCACTTAATTTGTGACTTATTTCACGTTAACTTTCCTGGTGTTGTTGTAAAGGTCATTACTTGGTTAATAGTGAATCTTATCTGTAATAGTATAAATGAATGTACTATGTAAGGTATGCACATGTTTTCTCCTAATGTATTTGCTTTGTTTTTGTTATAAGTTTTATATCATGTATCCAGATATTCTTATTTTTTGTGTTGTTCCAATTCATTTTTGCCAAGAAATTAGTGTAAGTAGAACATTTGATAATGACCTTTCAGTAAATAAATGGATAAAAATTTTTTTACCTCATTTATCAGTCTTCCAGGATCTTCCCTTTGTAATGTTACTGATTAGTTCAATATCAAAGCTTTTGTGTAAGATATTTAAGCCGTAGCACCTTTTTCCATTGCTGCTACAATTTAGCTAGAAACTTAGGCCTTATTTGTAATTATATTTTGTTGAAAGAGAAATAAGTTTATTTTTCATATATTATAGAGTTGGTAGACTTAAAATGAAGATTCAAAATTAGGAGTTACAACATAGAAACAACCATTTTGCTTTTGACATTTTAGTCTCAGGAAATGCTTTAAATTTTATTTCTCACTAGTTTATAAAATAAGAAGTTAATATGATTTAGTGCTGTAGTTCACAACATTTTCTATCCTGTGCCTCCTAAATCTGAATGATGTTATTTACTTAGGTTCTAACAATGGCCACAATAGAGGGTTAATTATTAAAATAATCCCTGAAGAATGTATACAGTTGTTCATAAAGTTATTCTCAACTATCTTTTCCTCTTTTATATTACTTAACCTCTTTCTTTCTAACAATGTAAACATGAGAAAATATATGTCAGTAATATATTTATTTTCTCATTCCCATTATCTGTCAACTTCAAATTTTAGTCACTTTGCGAGACTGATTTATTGTTAGGAAGGTATGCCTCACAGGTTGGGAACTATTGTTGGTATAGCGTGAACATGGGCTATGTAACAGAATATTTGTATTTAGATATCTTTACAATATTTGTGGCCATTTAAGTCACTTTGCGAGACTGATTTATTGTCAGGAAGGTATGCCTCACAGGTTGGGAACTGTTGTTGGTATAGCGTGAACATGGGCTACGTAACAGAATATTTGTATTTAGATATCTTTACAATATTTTAGTTTTGATTTGACTCTCTTGAATTAATTTATATATATATATATATATATTTTAAAGGGCTACTTACTTGTTAGTTTGTGGACATTATCCTGTGTATTCTGTAGCAGAGCATGGAAGCACTGACTGTTTGCTGAAAAAACTTCTACCCATGTTAAAGAAATACAAAGTCAGTGCTTACATTAGTGGCCACGACCACAATCTGCAGGTAAGGATTGTAATTTATCCATCCTCACTATAACCTTAATACTACTGATGTGATGAATCTGAATCCAAAAGTCATACCTCTGTTTAGTGATATCCTCAATTTGATTTCAATTGTAGTTACAACAGTAAAAAATACAATTCATAAAATGTGTATAGTAAAAAAAACTGTATTTTAGTCACAATATTCTTTTGGTTCAATGCTATTCATCATAATATGGGTGAGCAATTTGTTTACTGGCTCTTTAATTAATACATAACTAAACATTTTGAGAAAAGTATCCTTTTTTATGAATCTAAGGTGATTTGTTAATGACTTATTATTTTTGTTTGTAAAATTAGTTTAATGTATATACGTCATTATTTTTATGACTATTTTTGTAATACTGCTATCAACAATGTAATTTCAATATATTGCAAACAAGGTAAAAAGAACAACCTTTTCAAAGGCAGTTGTATTTGTTGAAATATTATACCCCCTTGAATGCCATGTTATTTGTATTGCATTTTTAATCTTTTTTTTTAATTGAATATGTTATCTGCACAAATGTGTTTAGAAATCCAATCTTTCAATCTGTTTTAGTTTAATTTGTAAGCTGAAGTTAAAATAAGTATGGGTTTAATGATTATTCATTTTAGCACCAGTACACATATTTAAAGAAGTTCTTTTGGGTTTAGACCAAAACCTACACAAGTTGTTTTTTTTTTAATGTAAAAGTACCATCAGCCAGGGCTATTTTGAACAGCAGAATTTCTTTGAACAATTTCAACAAAAATGTTTAGACCATTATTTATAGCACAGAAATATTAGAATAATTTGTTTTTGAATATTCAGGGATTTTTATTTTGCATTTATTGAGCAAATGAATATTATATATTGATATAAGGGATCCTAGTGTAGTCGTGTCACGGTTTTGATACTGTTGTAAACTTTTACCTTAACATAGGTCATCAGTAAAGAAATATAAGCCTTTAAATTGTGGCTTGAATGTTAAATAACTTATTGTAAACCTGTATCCTCGTCCATTACTAGTTTAATAAAAAGCATGAACTTCTTTACTATGTCTAAGAATTTTGCATTCCTAGACATGTTAATGCATCTCGCATTATGATAAATGAGGACAGTTTGAGGTAAGAAACAGCACTAGTCAAAGACATATTGGAAAATTGACCTAATTTGATTGAGATTCCAATGCACGTGACATGAGTTTCATGTGGGCTTCCTTATGATGGATCCTTTGCACTGAATCAATTAGGGAAAGAATTGAATGATGCAAAAGAGACATGATAAAGAAGTTGTAATGTTTGCAGAATCAGAACATCACCATTTTCCAAAGTGTACTAGCCAATACATTAAAAACTTACTAGTCAAGTAGAAGATGAGTGCCTCACATGACTTATATTTTTTGCTTACCATAATATATTGTTGTATATTGATCCTGTAATGTTTTAATAAAATAGCTTAAGTGATCAAAACCTACTGAGTTTGTTAAGGCAACTCAGTATACTGCTATGGTACATTAACTTACTAGTACACTGGAACAGTAGTGCTATGCACAACGTTTTTTCTACATTGAAGTAGGTTTTAATTAAATTCTAAGTGTTCAGTATAACCCCAAAGACAGGATATTGTGGAAGGGAAAAGATTGTTCAAAGTAGCCCCATACAGCAGTTACTTTAAACATGCATTCTTTAGCTTTAAAAAAATACATAAGTGCATCAGAGCTGTAGTCTCTTTCAAGGTCTAGAAAGTCCAACTGGTCCCCATATCTGAATACCTTAATAAAGGTTATACACCTAAAAATATGTTCAGGTTTGTTTATTTATGTAAAAATGTTCAAAGTAGCCCCAGTTGAAGGCAGTTAAATAGTTTAGTTTAACTATCAACTGATCAAAATTAATTATTGGTTATTGTAGTAGTTAAATTTTTAAAATATGAGCTGTAATATTTGTTGTTAGCCATTTATATTTTGGTACTCTTCTGATATTGCAGCATATTCAACCTTCTGATGCCACCTGGACTGTAGAATACTTCATTGTAGGATGTGCCAATTACATTAATAATGAAAAAACTCACATGTCTAGCATTCCATCTGGATCTCTTAAGTTTTTCTGGGCAAACTTGTTTAGTTTAGGAGGATTTACGTATGTGGAAGCATCTGTAGATAAAATGACAGTAACCTTTTATGAATCAAATGGAAATGTTTTGTACGAAAGATCTATCTTTCCAAGAAACTAAATATCACACGAATAATAGATTCTGAAAAATTGAATAACTTCACTGTTGTCAACAAAATTAACTGTTTTGAAGCTGTCATACTGAAATGGACCAGTGTCTATGGATATTCATGATAAAATTGTTAGAATTGTATATTTCTGTAATTCTACTTTTATTAAAAGTTTCAAAACAAAATAGCATTTGTATATAGCCAAAGAAACCTTTCATTTCTGTTTTAATACAGTGACTATAATGATAGTATTGATCCATGAAATTGTGATTTTTTGAGAGTTTAACACAAGAACCAAATAGGAAGAAAACTTAGTAGTTGTTTATCTTTGAAGTTTCACACTAAGCTACTCAAAGGTTATTTACGCTAGCTGTCCCTAATTTGGAAGTGACAGACTAGAGGAAAAGCATCTAGCTAACTCGTGGAATTGATTGTGAAATTATAATGCCCCACATTTGAAAGGGTGAGCATGTTCCATGATGGGATTAGAACTTGAGTTGAGCACTCTATCCATCAATCCCAGGTTTAATAAAATCTTAGTAATAAATAAACAAAATGTTAATAGATGGCTGAATAAATTACCCCCACCTGACCAAGGGTGATGCTTTCACTCCTGTGTGTCAACAAGATTACTCAAAAAAGTTTGATTTTGAGCAAACTTGGTACAAAAATTAAGCATCCCCACATCCAAAAATCAATTAACATTTAGTGAATGGTGATCAAAGGTCAACATTATGATGGAAATTTTGAAAAAACTTAAACAGAAAGATGATCTTGGTGTATATTTTAGGTTGGTTATTGCAAAACTTAAACACTGTGATAGAGGTTGCACTCTTACTGCCATTCCAGCTTCATGATATTTTGAATACAAAATTAATAGCTTATACTATATAGAGGTATAATTTGATTAGAAGAACTTGCAGTCCACACTTTGTAAACAAAGAAATGAAGGATTGGTAAATAGTTGGTTTGCATGACAACAATGAAATCTTTGTATTATGTATTTATACAATCTTTGTTCTTTCTTTAATAGGATTAGTAATTGTGCCACTTTTTATTGTGTGCATTTTAGGTGGTGGTGTAGCAAACAGCCAGAATCATTACTTTATAATAAAAACATTTCACACAAGGTTTACCTATTATTAGTTATTTTTGGAAAAATATATCTTTATATGATTTTAGGGAATAAGTATACAAAAGAAAATTAGATAAAAGGGCTTAAAGGTAAAATACATAGAACTGAATAAGTTAAAGTAACTTAATAGTAATAAAGAAAAACACCTTCGTAAGAACTTGTAAATCAGTTTACTTAGAATTTTCTCTCATAAATATATCTAAATTTGTACAGAACAAAGTCGTCATTTAAATAAACTGATTAAGCTCAAGAGCGAAATACTTATCATAGATGGTCTTTTCTGTACTTTGTTTTAAAATTTAAATATACTGTTTTAACTTTTTTATATATATATATATACATTTTTCACTTATCAGCACAACTTACAATATTAAAATATTGAATAAACTAAATCACTAGTCAGGAAGGAAAGTATTTCTCGGTTTTTAGTTGTTGTTGTTTCGAACTGAAGTATTTTTGACATACTTGAATAATTTGTACCACCTTCGACTTCAGCCAAAAATAATCTATGAATTAGAATGCAAAACTTGTAGTCACAGAGCAATGTATATCAGTGAAATACAATGATTCCTACATAACTTGCACCAATGAACACATCAACACCCTAAACAAATAGGAATCAATAAAATGTATTCCAGGCCCTCCACCAGGGAGTAAAACCTTGTTTTAAGAAAGACAAAAAAAATCATTCAAGCAATTCTTATTGGCGAAAAACCTGAAATCAATAGAGACAATGGATGGTGTGTATATATATATAAACATCTATCCTCCCAAAAATATTCCCAATTTAATTTACATGTCAACATATAAAATTTACAAATTGACATACATTTACATTTTCTTTATGATACAAACTAGACTTGTAGTTTAAAACATGATAATAAAGAATTTACAATAAATGTTTACATTCACACTAGAATTGTTCAGAAACAAAGGTTTATTTCATTTGAAGTCAATTCCTCAACTAAGAGGAAAAGTATATACCATATAATAAGCATTTTATAAAACTGCCTGCTTTGTTTAGATGGGTAAATATTATTCCAAATAAAAGAAAATCATATTTTTCCTCTACCCTCGGTCAAGGCTTTTATCCTTTCACCTTAACTGACCAGTTGACAATAGTGCTATAGTGACATGGCTTCTGTGAAAAAACTCATTAGTCAATATACAGTTTATTTCCTTTCCTCTTTGTTTCTTCCCAATTTTTGGTCTTTTCCTAGACCCAAAATTATTCTTGTACATTTTTAACACATATTTACTCCTAACTGTAGACAGAAGCTATATCTCACTTGTGGTTGCAAAGTAGACTTAGCTTACATTAGATTACTGGCCACCTCTATGAGGTCAAAGTATTCAATTGCACAAGATGTAGATTGTCCACAAGAATGTACCTTTTTTTTTATCAAATTAAAAGTTATAAAATTATTTAATATTTTCATATTCAAATTATCTTTTGTAACTTTTTTTAAATTATATTTTGCTATTATTTGTAGTAATAACAGTTATCACACAAAAATTATTTTTATCTGAACACCAGTTTATTATTTCAAAAAGAACTAGCTGGTGCCAGCCTTTCGACAAGTAAATTTAAAAGTTCAGCAGGGACCAATCTCACAGTCAAAAAAATTGACATTACTAAGTAGTACATACTTGTATAGGTATCTGCTTTAAAGGAAAATTCTATGCTAAAAACTATCATATTGCTGTAGTAGTGTGAAGTATTTCTTCTTTTTTAAAGATTAAATGAATATTAAATAGGTCTCGGTAATGTAACTATGATTTTAAATTTGCTATTTCAAAGTGGACAAGTACTATCATTCTTTTAACTAAATTTAACAGTTTTTAAAGAATACAAAACCAACTGAGTTTCTTATTAACACTTTCCAATTTTACCAATCTTAACTGTATAATATGGAACTTCTTTCATAACAGAAACTACATCTCCAGACATAGATTCTTTATGCCACACACATAAGAAAATAATGATGAAAGATTATAAAAAATAAGGATTTAACAATGGAATGTTTTTTTTTGCTTGTAAGAAGTAGCCTGGAAGCACTAGATTTAAGAAGAAATTAATCTTACAAGTAGAAAACTGGTCCTCATATAGCGGCATAGTCTATCTGTACATAAAGCTGACGCACTCCCACCTACAAAAAAAATGATTGCCATTACTACACCTAACTATAAAAACATTTATTTTGGTTCAAAATAGACCAATAAACCTTTAGAAAAATTCTAAATTTGAAAGTAATTAAACTTGTTTTTAACCAAAAACACAAACAAAATTTTTGATATTGTAGTTATGATATTACCACATTTATCTCATACATATGGAAATACAATGATCTTACAGCATTTTTGATGTGGGGGGAATAAAATTCAGACTTCATTATCAAGAATTGCATGAGAACACCTCTGTCATCATGTAAAATAATGAATTTCTTTACAAAAACTTAACAGATTGATATACAAATTTACATTCAGTATTACTCAAATAAAAATTAAGTATATATACATAACTTGATACTTTGGTTTGTCAAACCACAATCTGATCTATATTCTTAGAAAAAAAAACTTTAAGAAAATTATTTTTGCAGTGGCCCAAAGGGGAGGCCTGTGTTAATCACAAAAATACACGTCTAAGCAAGTAAATTACAATAATAAATTGTAAGATAAACTAATGGCATAATTGTTTCTGCTCTTTAAACATAATCTTGATACACTGTCATAATGCAGTCTTTTTTTTTAATTTATAACTATCTGTTCAATTTTAGTGCAGCTACAACTTATTTAAATTATCATACTTTGGTTAGCCTTGTTCCACTTTCAAGCTACATATTTTATGAAGTACAGAAATTGTAAAATTAAGATGATGTATTTTGTGGATACATATATAATATTACTTCTATACATAATACTGTCTGATATTAAAAATATTTGCCTAAAAAAATTCTACCTGTTTTCAGAATGAAACAAAAATTTTTTTTTACATTTCCTTTTTAAGAAGTTTGATGCAGAAAATATAACAGAAAGTTACAATATAATTTGCTTAACTGTTATGGTAGTATCTAAAAATTTGAAACCAGCTGATATTTTGGATATTAAAGTTTGCTTATAAAGTGTTCGGGAATGTTTTTTATATTTGTTAACCTGTATTGTTTTTTCTAAATTCTAATTAAAAAATACTTTTTTACATTTCATTCACATACATTGATAGTAAAGGTGTATAAAGAGGTATCCAGCATGAAAGGATTAAGGTACTCAGTTATTAAAGATTCATTTGGTAGGGACGAGGGCTCAGTCAGAATGTGATATGTTCTGAGGGCCTTGTGATGAGAAATATGGGAACTCCTGATCTAGAATACTATATTTTGGTATGACCTAGCTTGATAACAGTGTAATTAGAAATAATTAAAAACAACCACTTATTACAATTAACACAGTCAAATTAAGGCAGTAACTTAGTCATGTATTTTTACATAAAAGCACTGAGTACCAGTAAAAATCATATTCATTCTGAGCTCACGTTTTGTATCAATAACATTAAAGTTCCACAAATGAAATATCAGTATCAAACCCAGATGACAAGGTATAATTTCTTTAAACTTGAAATCTGCACTGTAGGAACAATAATTAATCCAAATAAAACCTTACAGACATTTTACTTGGTGTAAAATGTTTATAAAAGCATAAATGTTTAAAGTAAATCAATTAAGCACAATGTCCGATATAATCTTATAAACTGTTCAAGAAGCAGGAGTAAACCATAAGAAACTTTGTATTTGTATGTATGAGAATACTCCATTTAAGTCTAATAGAAGTTATTAGTATGTAACAAGAGGTTAACGCATCATACTCTACATTACACAGGTTTATGTTACATTAAGATCATTTTAAATATTCACATGAAAAATATAACAAACTGATTGACAATATTTCCTTTTTACCTGAGTAAATATATTGTGAGTATGACTAAGAATATATTTTGCATCTGCATTGGTGGCTACTTCCAGTTTCAAGGTTCCAATAAAAACATCACTACACAATGTCCAAAAGTGTGGTTCTTGTACACTGTATACTCCTTCCAACTGCATAACCTGTACATCAGCAAACACAAAATATGAAGTTCCAGAAACAAAATATATATATATATATGGGCTGGGTCACTGCCCAACCTTGCATCCTTCATGTAATCATAAAAATATACAAACTATAACTTAATGTAGTATTTAAAGTGTATCTTAATGAAATGTGGCAGGCTTTTAGTAAATATTACAACTCTTTTTGTATGCTGAGAATCAGATTTTTTAATTAAGTATTTTTACTAAAGATGTTTGTCTGTGCATGTATGGAGTCAGATTGTGACTCAGACTCTGACTTGTCTGAGTGCAAGGTGATTTTCATGTTAAGATTAAAAATACTTTTATCTTACAGTTTCAAATTTCATCTGCATAACCTTTAAACCCTCCTAAATGAATACTAAAAGTATTTTTCAGTAAAGCCTTATATTTTATCTGCTGTTTTTTTATCCTAACACTGTAAGGACTCAGTCAATTTAACTGACCTTGTAACCACTATAAAAAAAAATCTAAATTATCTTTTTTTCAAAAGGATAACTGCAGGCTGTAACAAGATTACTATTATTTATTCTAAACAGCTTAAGGCTTGTAACAGTTTACTTTTTATTTAATTCTATTGTTTTATTGCTCTTTGAACCATGTTAAACTAATAATCCCATAATACAAGTTGTTAATCACACAACTAAGGCATAGCTCAAGCTGTGATATTGAATGTCATAAAGCACAAGCTACTTATGAGCATGAGCATACATTGCGGAGAATTTTTTTATTTATAAATTTATAGGTATATTATAAGTTTCTAATTTTTGTATTTTAGTTACTTTTATAACAATAAGTAAAACAATATACATAAAAACAAAATTACTGCTTAAGTTTGGCCTAGTGTTGTTTGCTGCTGTCCTACTGATAAAACTTGCACCTACTTTTTTTGTAACCACGGTAATAGTACATCAACTAATTATTTATTTATTTCAAATATGCACTTAAGAACACAAAATAATAACAAAAAGAAAGCAAATAATATCCTATATCTATTATGATTTAACTGGCTTTTTTAACTAAGGTAAAAGTTCCTTAAAAGAATTCCCATAGTTGTTCAATCTAAATTCAGTAGAAGTAACTATGAATCTGTACGCAAGATAATTAAAAATCTCTAGTGAGAACAAGGTAGCATTTTATGTCATTTGGTAAATTAAAATTTTGTCCTTATATTGGTCATAAATGATATAATAGCAAACATCAGAGAGAATTATTAATAATCTCCAAAAAAAAAGGATGTGATAGGAGAGAGAGTGGCATAAGGGCTTGACTTTCTGATTTATATCTCTATAAACCAAGAAGACTGAAGGCTATAAAAATTAGACTTTGCCTTAGTAATATCCATGCTATAATAAGTAATTTAAGTTAAGGTCAGGACACCATAGAGGTATGATGAAAAAATAGAAAATGGCAAGTTGGATTGAAGAAATGTCACGTTATATAGACAAAGGAAGATTGAGAATCTATTTAAATATTTCCTTTTGAAATTAAAATTTATATACATACATAAAATTTAAAGATGAAAAGGGTCCTGTTGATCCATCCAGGCTGTCCCATCCACTAAGTTACTTTAAAATTAAAATAAAATGATCAATAACATCCTTCATGATGCAATAAATTTCCTGTTCAGTAGTCAATCCAGCATCAGCTGCATTTTCACCTGGCATTCGTTTACGATGTATTTTTCTTCTTTCAATGGTCAATCCCCATGTTTCACATTGATTCTTGCCCACTTTAAGTACTTCTTGACAGGACTTTTCCCATGATTCTATCAATTTCTCTTTCAAAAAATCAAGATCAGCAGCTGCTTCTCTAAAATTCATTTTTGGGTCCTGAAGACGTTTCTGCACTCGACTGATAGATGATAAATAATTTCTCCAAAAAATGCAAAAGTACAAGAAAATCAAATGTAAGCATGCATTGCAGAATATTATGAGCACCACATTTTGTTTCAGCCATGTTGCCATTCTCACCTAGCAATTCATCCAGTTTTTCATGTACAACTTTTACTGCCTTTTCTCTTGCACTCCACCGTGTTTCTGATTCTCGCTTGACAGAGATCTTAAGCTCCTGCTGCAGTTTGTCCCATCAAGTTGTTGAATGAGCAAAAAAATTATAAATGGCTTCAATTATACCAAAAAAGGTAATGATTGTTGTTTCCTGACTTGCAGCATGAAGACGTGCCAAGTTCAAACTATGGTTGTCACAGTTTATAAACACTGCTTTGGGATTTTTTTTCAGAATTCTTTGTTGAACGCCTGACAGATGACCTGACATGACAGCAGCATTATCATAACATTGTGAACAACAATCACTCCGCTTCTAATTTTGTGCTTACTGTTTTCTCAATATTGGCAACATCTATTTCCTTTATCTGTATAAAGTCAATAAATGACTCTTTGACTTATACTCTTCTTGTTTTGAAGTCAATGTCAACAAACCGAATCACT